GAATGTCTTTTTTTTTTAGTTTTATATTTTTTTGGAACTTAATAGTGGGTAGAAAATTGTTTATAGGTATAGTACAACATACTTGAAATATAAGTAGGGATAATTTGTTCTCCAAAATCTTAAATAAAAAATCCCAAATAAATTTAGGTTTATTGATGAAGTTGATATAGAATAGAGATCTGGAGTTTTTGGGGGAGTTTTATGGGATTTAGATCAGTTAAATGCTTGTAAAGGTGAAACTAGGCTAGCAAAATAAAAAATATGGTCAGACTTATAAGTGGGGATTTGACTTAGATTTTGAGAGAAGGAAATAAAATTTTGATTTTTATAAGATTTTTAAAAAATTCTAGAACACAAGTATTGAATATTGCAATAGAAAAAAAGTACAGAAAAATTAAGTCTCTGCTCACCTATATAGAGGGTTCAAGAGGATCACTCAATCCTCTTGGGTTGGCTGACCACCAAAACTTCTTGGAATTTCTTTCCAAAACATATTAAATAAAAAAAAGCTATTCATTTCATAAAATGGAGTTTCTACACAATTAACATCACTTAAAGAGACATATCTCTTAGCATTTAAACTCAAATGAAGGATGGAATAGGAGTGTAGGGAGGGATTCCTTTTATTTGGGCCACATATAACCGCCTACAACCACTCAAATTCCTTACATGCCCAATACATGGTCATCCCTAGACCTTGACCATGAAATGGTATTAACACAGTAAGCACTAGTAAAAAAAAATAACATCATGAAAGTCCACACAACACCTTACAACATAATACACATGAAAATACAAAAACAAAAAACACAAAATGACATAAATCTTCATTGTTTCTTAATGTTTTGAGCTTCATGTGCTCTTGCTTAAGTAATGGACCACATCCATGTGTTGCATCAATAGAGAAGGGATGGGAATCAAGATTTTGTAGGATTCAAAGTTGTCATTTTTGTTATTTGAGGGGATTTAGGCTAAATCTTGCTCACATCTTGCATCCACATAGCCCCTTAGGGTTTTGGGATATTTTCTTTCCTCTTACTTCCCAATGCACCATGAGTAGCTACAAGTATCCTAAATCTATAGTTTTTTTTTTTATTATTTTTATTTTTTTTTTTGCATTTATCAGATTGATGTGAGCCTGTGTAATGCGAGTTCATTCCACATCAATGACACTACAACCCTTATCTCCCTTCTCCTCCTCTTTGAGTTTGACCTAGGCGACAAGACATTATTCATGGTAAGTTATCGACTCCTTCTTCCAACCTTCTCCTTTGACCTCATTTTGATTTATTGTTCTTATTTATTCCTTGTTGGGAGCTCATTATTACCCAATCTTATAGAGTGACACAAGATAAGACTAACACATTCAATCATTTACTAAGTCATGTAGTTTATGACGATCTCATGAAATTTGAATGCTTCTCCCTCAAGTTTACTTTCTCTTCTTTTTTTTCTCTTACTTCTTAGAATTTCTTATTAGTACAATTATGATATTGCCAATATGGAAGTGTGGAATGCTGTTGATAATTTTTTTTTTTAATTCGGGAAAGAAAATTTGGTTTTTTTAATTACTAAAGTTCCTAATGCTTCTGAATTACCAATTTTTTTACTCATCAGCTTATGTCAAATAATTTACAAAATAATTGACGGAATGTTATTAAATAGATTGAAGTTTTGCCTTCCTTTGATTATTTATGAACAACAAGGAGCCTTTGTACAAGGAAGATCTATTTCAGATAATTGCCTTGTAGCTCATGAGATATTGAACAAATTTAGATTCTCAAAAGCTAATCCAGGTTTTATGTTATTAAAACTAGATATGGAGCAAGCCTATGATAGCTTGTGTTGGGAAATATTGAATCAAATTTTATGTGTAATGGGTTTCCTTGTGAAAATGATAAATCTGATTATTCAATGTATCAATTGTCTAAAATTTTATATTATCGTCAATGAAAGGAGAAGTGATTGTATTAATGCTGAATGTGGCTTTAGACAAGGGTGTTCATTATCCCCTTGTCTTTTTATTTTATGTTTAGAATTATTGTCTAAACTAATTTGTGACAAAGTTCAAGATCTTGGTATGAGAATTGCTCCAAATACAATTAAGATTTCACATCTTCTATATGTTAATGATGTTTTGGTAGTTGTTGAAGAATCTCGTCATAATGCGAAGAAGATTAATGCAATTATGAAAGAATGCTGCAGTTGGACTGGACAAAAGATTAATTCTAGCAAATTTATGGTTCTTTATGGTAAATATGTATCTAGATGAAGGAAAAAAATAATTAACAAAATTTTGGGATATCAAGTTATTGTTGAAATTACTTATGCAGGAGTTAAGATGGCTATTAGAAGAAAAAAAGTTGTTGATTATCAAAATGTGGTGGATAAGACAATAGAGAGGCTTAATCAATGGGGGTCTCGATCCCTTTCTTTGGCATGAAAATTTTTTCTTAAAAATCAACGTTTTCTTCAATTCCTTCTTTTATTATAACTCGCTATTTGATTCAAAATGGCATTTTAGATGATATTGACCGATATTGTAGGAATTTCTTATGGCATAAAGAACTTGGAAGATAGGGAATGCATTATATTTCTTGGAAGACTCTTTGAGCACTTATTTGTCAAGGTGGAATTCGAATTCAAGGAGCTGCTGACATATTGAGGCCATTAAAGGCTTGTATTGCATGGAATTTCATTCAAAAATCATAATTCTTTTCTTAGCAAAATTATATTATCTAAACATGAAAATGATATCTGGAAAGCATATATAAAGAGAAACTCTTCACCGGCATGGCGTATTATTAAAGATGAAGCTCATTTTTTAAATCCAATTATTAGATGGCAAGTTTCAAATTGTATAAGTATCAATATTACAAATGATATTTAGATTCTTGATAGAAGTTTAAATAATTGGCCAACTATGGGTAATAAGGCTGATCTTTATAATAAAAATGTGGCATTTATTGATGATGATGGTAGATGGAATTAGTCATTGTTAAAGTTATATTTTTTAGAAGAATTGATTCAGGTAATCATTGATACAATGATAAACCAGAACTTCTTGTATATAAATCTTGTAAATTTGTTACGACTTTAGCATACGAAGCTTTTATAAATCAACATTATGAAGGTGTTAATGTAAAATGGATGAGGAAAATAAATTTAACTACTAAGGAACATTTATTATGGTGGAGATTGCTAAATAATGCTCTTCCTACTAATTTATGGCTGAATTATAGGAAGTTGTTGGATTCTGCTTTATGCCTAAGAGCCTGTAGTAAAGTTGAGGATGGTAATCACATTTCATATCATTGCATTAAGTTAAATGAGATTTTTTATACTTTTTTTCAATGGGGAATTCAATTGCCTAAATTTAATTTCTTATCTCATTGTGTATACGAATTGAAGAAAATTGCTTGTTCAAATTCTTGAAATTGTTAGACTTTATTTGACTTAAGTTTATCACAACTGGAAATCAAGGAATAATGTAAAGCATGGAGCTAATGGTCCATCTCCTTCTATGATTGCAGCTACAGTTCTTTCTTATTCAATTCAACCTCAATCTTTTCCAATTTGTTAGAATTGGGATACTAACCGGCATCATGTGCTGTCAAAAATTTGGTATCCTCCTCCTATAGATTGGGTTAAGCTGAATGTTGACAAGTATAGCATGTGTCCTTCGAGACCACAAAGGAAGATTCTTATTAGCTTATGGTAAGAAAGTTGTTCATTGGGATATTTCACTATTGGAATTAATGGCTATTTTTTATTTCAAAAAAGTTATTAAAGAGTGGATGTGTGATAAGAAAGGAATCATCGTTGAAGGAGATAATGCAACATTATCAACACCTTGCAGAATTCAGTATTCAAGTCTATAGATTCAAATAAATTTGTTGATAAGTAGGATTTTCTTTCCTATAAGTGTTTAAAAATGTCATTTGGTTTCTAGAGAGAGCAATAGAGTGGCAGATTATTATTCTCATCAAGCACTCTTACGTGATTTTAGTTAGGATGTGTTTAATGTTGATGTTCTTCCTTCAAGTTTTGTTTACTTGATTAGGAAGGAGTGTAATAGGTTGACTATCACTTAGTACTTTCTATCTTCATTTGTTGCTTTAATGCTATTGCATTTCTTTAAAAAAAAAATTATGATATTGCCAATAGATAAATTTGAATTTTACTTTGTGTTATCCCTTCTTTCATTTGAAATTATTTAGAAATATAGTCATAAAACTAGCAATCAACTTAGATTTATCAGTTTCATTGGGTTTTAATTTTATAAGAGTCATGCTGAGTGCTGGAAATGAGGCGTTATGATAAAATTTAAGTGATCTTTATTAATGTAAGCATGTTATTTTATATTTAAGAGTTGTTTGGTTTGTTGAAAAAAATGACAAAATATTTTAACTATATGGGGTTTTAAATTCGGGTGATTGGTTTGATTTTTTTTTTTTCGGGTGATTGGTTTGATAAAAAATTAAAACAATTAAAATTTAGTGAATTCTTTTTTTCACTATCTAATTTATTTTTGTTGTATTGAACATTTTTCAATTTTTTTTTGTCGAATTCATTTTTAATCGCAAGCTTGTAGCATTGTCATTGCTCACCGTCGCCCACCACCGCCATCATGTCACTAATCGTCGGCATAACTGTCGGCCACCACTGATAGTACTATCATTTAATTTTATATTATTATCATTTTACTTCAAGTCAGATAAAATGTAATAATCATTTGCATTCCTTTTATACTTATACAAATAACTTTAAAAATTTTAAATACATTATATTCATTTAATATTACATTTTTTATTATGAATTACTTTTTCAGCAAAACAAATACCCCTTAGTTGATTTTAAATTTACTAACTCAAAGGTCCTATAAGATCATGAAATCCATGGGCGGATTATGATAATATTGATAAATATTTGAAAAAGTATTCTCATGAAAAAAAAGAGTAAAATACCGTAAAATTTTGTTTCTTTTTTATTTATAGAACTGCACAATTGAACCATATACAAAATTTCCATCAAATTAAAAAGAAAAAAGCCATCATCAAATCCTTCAATTTTCAAATTCAACGGTCGAATTTAGTTGTATGATAAGTTGTGCTCTAAAAGCTGAGGATGTTGAGGAGAGAAACCCTATTTTTGATTAATCTCCTGAAGAGAGATTCCAATCCGGACTCTAGATCAAAAATGTTTTCGCACAGAGCGTCCATGAATTCCTCTCCCGTTTCAATTTCATTCTCCTTGCAATCCACCTTTGTGTATAGTAACTCAAACACAAAAGACCACCTGCTGGTCTTTTGATTCGTCCTCGGCGTCGCCAAGAAGGAGGAAGCCAACTGGAGTAGGGAAATCAAAATCTCCCTCGCCTCTACCAGCATGCCATCGATGGCGGAGCAAGGCGCGCGTTTGTTGCTGCTCTCCATCTGCTTCTGCAATGATCTCAATGAATTCCTGATGGCCTTCTTTATGGAGTGAAGAGGAGTCGAGTCGTAGTGCTGAGCTTTTTTGCTCTTGACATCGGTGCAAGGTTTTTTCCGAAGAGAAAACTGGATTTCTTGCAGATGCTCCCTGGTGGAGGCCAGGCCGTCCCTAATTGCGCCACTTAGGTCGAGGAGCCGGAGAGAGAGATCGAGCTCCTCCTCCACCCATTTTCTTTGGTTCGAATGAGCGACGTGTTGCTGGTTGCAGGGCAAGCGGAGAAACTCCTCGATGACGTCGTAGACATCTCCGAGTCGTCTCAGACCGTGCGACACTGTTTCTGTTGTTGATAAAGCCAAACAAGCTCTAAGCTTGCGCAGATCTGCTGTGATTTGGGCGGCGGCGGGGTGGGATCTGGAGGGCAAACTGATGGATCGAACTTGGAAGGCTTGATCGGCCATTTAACTGATTGATTGCCTATTGAAAGGGAAGAAAAATCAGGATATGTTGCTTGTTTGAGATCTGGCCTGGGATGGTATCTTATCCTGCTTATATATTGCTTAAAGGATGATTAGCGATGGAAATGCAGAAGAATTGCGTGGGGCAAGCATCAAGAATCTTGACAGCGAAGCTACTAATGTGCTGTCGAGCTGGGAAATGGCCTATTAGCTTGTGACCTGGACGATTTTGCTCACACGTATGGGTGTGATGTGGATCTTGTTCATGTCATGGGAAACATAATCTCTAAAGAAGTTGAGATGGGTAGCAACCTGGCTTGTTATTTGGATCTCTCTGGTGGTCTCTAGTAGCTTAATCTCACCCCTTGCTAGGCAGGAACATGTTCTCACAAATTCTGTATGAGAATATTCTTCTTGTTATTATTTATTAAAGTTTTTTTTTTTTTTTTTGGCTTCAGACTTTTTTTGTGGTAGGGAAATAATAACTCTCGAAGCCATGAGTGCAAATGCCAGGCATCTTGTCGCAAGAATTATACAAATCAGATCCGAACAGCAACTGTTTGATGAAATGCTTGCAAGAAAGCCAGCACCAGACAAGACTTGCAGGGCACCTGTCACCACATGCCATAGGTGGAGCTTGATGGTATGCTTTCTAATTTTTTAATGATATCAATAGCTGTTCTTCACATGTGCAACTCTAAAGAATTCACAAATCTTGCCACCACATGCCATAGGTGGAGCTTGATGGTACTATTTCTAATTTTTTAAACGATATCAATGGTTTTTCTTCACATGTTCATCTCTAAAAAATTCACAAATCCTGCATTGAATCATGAAAAAGTATTCCGATTCGGGAATTTTTTTATTCAAGCTTTGTCATAATTGCATCTAATATATTGCTGTGTCATCTATTCTGGTGTTGACAACAAACTTGCGTATGATACTCGAGAAACCTACATCTCCTTCATAACATATTAATTTTGCCACCGCAGCATCAATAATTAAGTCTAAATGTCCTAAACCATCCATTACATTAAATAATCTTATATTTATGGTTCTGTTTCTTGAAATTGCTACAAGATCCTAATGATAAACCATAACCTACAGTTATACAGAATGTCACGCCCCGGATATGAACGGCGATATACCTCGACAACATAAGGCTTGATGAATGGATATGAAAATCTATTTTGTAATCATACAAACAAAGTTTATATATAAGTAACATAACAGTAAAAATAATTTGTGGTGGAATCAAAATGTACAAAAAAAGATAAAAAATAAGAAGGTTTGTTAAAAAAATTAGTTAGACGGTAAAAATTTTGATATTTGGAAAAGATATAAAAAGATCTGTAAGGAGACTAAGAAAGCAATTTGACATGCAAAAATTTTATCTTTTAATGATTTATATAATAAATTAAATATTAAGGAGGGTGAAAGATATTGTATAAGTTAGCTAAACAAAGACATAGGAGTAGTAAATATTTAGTTCAAGTAAACTGTAATAAAGATGAAGATCAAAAAGTGCCTTTACTAGAAGAGGATATTCAACAAAGGTGGATAAGATATTTTGCTAACTTTTCAATAAAGATTATGAGAATGTGATTGACTTTAATAACCTTATCACCTTAAATAAAGATTTTTGTTTTTATCAACGTATTAGTAAAACTGAAGTTAAAGAGGCCTTAAAGAAAATGAAGTGTGGAAAAGTTGTTGGACCTGATGATATTCCAATAGAGGTGTGGAAATGCTTAGAAGAAAAAGGAATTTCGTTGCACTAAGTTCCCTTCCACAGTGCTACGAGAAAGCGTAGGGTTATTCTGCCGGCGTGCTGCAAGCTTTGAAAGCAGGATTTTGAGTTAGGAATGTTATACCTTGGTGAAGCGGTGATTGACGAGGTCGAGGCGGTGATGAAGATATGCAAACTATTCCCTTGATGATTTTTTTATTTTTCTATATATATAGCAACAATAATGATACAACCACTATTAGCATTATTCAAAAATAGTAACCATGAACTTGTATTAATAATAAGTAGATTGAAACTTATTGTTTGAGCTTTTATGAGAATCTAGCTGAGTGGGCTAATTTGGATTAATAGTGGATTGATTTGGGTGGAATGTAAAGGAATTTAGCTAGTGGGCCTTGGATGTTTTGTAGAGGGATTGAAAAGTTGAGGGGTTTGAAGGATTTTTGTGGGTTGCTTGGCTGAAAATGAAGCAAGTAAAAAAAGGACCTCACGTGAAAGGTAGATAATGGGAATATTCGTGCAAAAGAGTTGTAAATGTTGTTATTGTAAGTTTTGAGCGTGGGGAATCAATTTGGTAGAAAAAGAAGGGGCTAGCTGTTGCATGGGCATTGGCTCGACCAAGGAAATCTGCAGCAGGAACTAGTGACTGCCAGGGAGTGTGAAGAAGGTAAGGGGTGGTTGTCTGGCTTGGAAGTTTGTAGCAGGATAGGGACCAAATCAGAAGAACTAATTGTTAGGCAGCTGGCTCGATTGGTCAGTTGAGTGGGTCGAAGCAGGTAAGGGCCTTCACTCGACTTTGAATCGGGTGAATCTAGCAACTGAGCGGAACGAAACACTATTGTGCTTCGTTGATATAGTGCTGGAAATCTGCATGTTTCTGCCTTGGGTTGCGCATCAATTTCTTTGCGCAATTTTCTTTTGACAAAATTACACTCTATTTTAGGCATTGTTGACATTTTGATCGCAATGGCACAACCCATTTTGCAATCAGAGGTTGTTTGGACGACACCGTGTGTCAATTTCCTCGATTTGCATGTTGTTGCCTCTATATATATTCATATCTCCTCGCGCGACGCGACTTCAATTGAATGAATTTACTATCATTTTTGGGTATTGATGACATTCCAAACAAAACGGTGTAGTTTATTTCACGATCATACATCATTTGGGCAACGTTGCGCGTCAATTTTGGGTTTCGGTCTTCCGTTTTAACAGATTTCGTCTGATTTGACTACGAGGGGTTCCCACCTCTGATCGCAATGGTGTAGTCTGTTTGGCCCTTCAAGTAATTTGCTACGCCGACGCGCGCGTTGCTTAAATTATCGTTTTAGCCTCTTTTCGCGTGTTTTGATGGGTAGGGGTCAACACATTTATGTGGTATTATTTAAGAGATTAATATAAGGTTTATGATAATTAACCCTATATAACTAATTCCATAACTTATGTTTGTAACCATGAAGATTAATGTAAGCTTAGTAAATATTATTTTTAAATGTTAACATATAAATTATTTAGCAAGAATTTTATCTAGTTTTACATATAATTGGAGCCTGGAAAAATAATACAGATCATGCATAGATATCAATGTTAATTATATAGCATGAGATTAATGGTAAGTTTATGTGGAGGAAACCCCATCTTATGTGATGATAGAATGAGTAATTCATATCTACATGTATACCTTATAAATAATTGTTCGATTACTTTTAGGTGACTTTTACTGAGTAAGGAAAAAGTATGCCCTTCCTTGTTTGGAGCATATTTCTACTATTTGTTTGTATATTTCAATGGTTAACAATATATTGTGAATTCTTTTTTATTTTTTCATAATATTTCACATGAACATTGTGGTATGAAGTGATTGTGTGTTGCACTATTTTAGTTGTTCACAAGCTCCTAATCATATCTTTTATGCACTTTCTACTAAGGTATAACATTGATTTTTATATATCCCTTTCTTTGCTAATATTTATGTCACATGCCTTATCATTTATATTTTACTTAATGGGGTTTCACCTACTGAGTTTGCTTACTACAAACTCATTCCTGTATTATTTAATCATTTTCAATATAATAGTCGTGTGATTAGAGCAGCTTCTAGGCTTATGCTACAAGAATATTATTAGAGGTGTTTAATGCTATGAGTTATTTAATAAATTCAATGGCGTAATTAAATCTAAAACTCCTTCTAAGCCATGATTATCAACTCATTGTAGATTGCTATATGATCACTTTAGAGTAACTGTGGAGAGCAAGGTGTGGCCTCATGGTTTTTCTATATTGTAATGCTTTGCTAGTGTAAGCGTTAATGGGAGAGATAATTGTATTGATTGATCTAAAGTTTGAGATTTTGCTTTCACCTTATGATATTAGTATTTCTTATGAGATTTTCCATTTTGAAAATTTTATTTCTATATGTGTATGTAATGATCGAAAATAACCTCATTTATCAGTTGGTTATTGAATGTTTGGTTGTACGAAATGGAACTTTGTCTAAGAGTCACTTCATGTTGTTAGGTATGATGATTCTCTTTCAATGCTTACAATACAATTTTGATGTGATGTTCGAAATGCGAAATAAATGTGTAGTGGATTTTAAACCTCATCTTGATTGCTCTTCTTGATAATTTTATGCCTATGGATTCCTGCACTTGTGAATGGCTTGTGTAATGATTGGACTTATATTTGAACTTTTGCTAAAGTTGAAATAGAATACATGCTTTTGATTATAGGCTTTATTTTAGAATTTTTTTTCTTATACTTTATAAGAAGTTCACTTGAATTTTGAGGGTGAAATTCTTTTAAAGTGGGGAGTTTTTAGAAACGTGTATTTAAAAAAGAAAGGATCCAAATTGTTCACCCAAACTAGCTCCTTTACCAAAGTGTGTGTGCGTGCATGCGTGCGGGCGGGTAGGCGGGCACGCACGCGCACGCTGCGTGGATGCGTGCATGTATTTTGGTAGTATTAATGATTTTTTTTTATTAAAAGGTATTTATTATGTTTTGAGATGAAATATCAAATAACAAGTTATTATGATGTATTAAATTTGAAATATAAATGAGAGAAAATCCCTAGAAATCATTGATTACAAGTTTATACTTAAATTTGTTATTATGGTTATTTAGCCTTTGTTGTTCTATGCTTTCTTGTGCAATCTCGTGAATATAAGATTATTTATATTTAGAATTTGGGATTTGTAGAACACCATGTGTTGGAGCATGAAAGTTCAACATCATAATTGGTATTTTAGGTTGTCTACGGTCTTTATATAGCATGCAACTCTTTAGTAAGAAATAAATGTACTTTTCTTTA